CTGTCTCTCAAAATAAATGAAAAACTTAAAAATATATATTTTATTGCTAAAAAATGCTAACCATCATCTGAGCTTTCAGTGAGTTGTGAGATCACAGATCACCATGATAACCAAATAATGAAAAAGTTCGAAATGTTGTGAGAATTCCCAAATTGTGACACAGAGACGCGAAGCGGGCAAGGGCTGTTGGAAAATGGTGGCACTGATCGATCAGCTTGCTCCTCTCAGGGCTGCCGCCAGCCTTCAGTGTGTAAAACACACAGTGTCTGTGAAGCACGATGAAGACATATGCCTGTACTGAGATAATGAACAGTGCTGGGGTGCGGGGAAAATGCCAGAATTTATGCCAGATATGTTCTTTAGGTCTCTCCCAGCCCCAAGGTGGTCCTTTCACACTGGATTGTCTCAAAGATTAGCTGTCAGAACCAGAAGAGAGGTTGAGATCCCATGTCCCATTAGATTCGAGAACATCCTGCCTATCTTCCTTTTCCCTTTGTGTCCTGTGCTTGCTTGTTTAACGCACAGATTTTCCTTTAGGATATCAACTTACGAGTGAAGTGGCCCAACGATATTTATTATAGTGACTTCATGAAGCTTGGTGGAGTTCTGGTTAACTCAACGCTTTTGGGAGAAACATTTTATATACTTATTGGTAAGCTTTTAAAGCCCTTTCCTCCACATTTTTAGATTAATAAAAGCAAAAATAAAAATGGTTTATACATGGCTACATTGGGGGGAGTGGATTATCATATGGGATTACTTTTTCTCTGAGTCCTAAGTTACAGAACACAATATGTATGCAAAACAGGCCAGATTGGTTGAAAGCCCTTCCAAGGGGTTTAGCGTTCCTGTCTATGGCCATGGAAACCACCAAATTGGTATCACGTCAAACAGGTTTTTTATTACACCTCTCCACGTGCCCGCTTCTTGTTGAATTAGAAATGATGAAAACAAACATTTGACATGCCGTTTTGTAATAAGAAAAGAAAGTCAATTTCAAGGATGGGGCTCCTGGTGGTCTGGCATTCTTAATGGGACCTTCCCAGGCCATGAAAGAGTTGTGTTCTTTTGGACCTTCGGAAGAAGCTCCAGGCTGGTCAAGGTGGGGTGAAGAATCCCGCTTCCCCGCAGCGCACCCGCATCAGGCGAGGAGGTGGGTTCAGAAACAGTTTCAGAAATTCTTAGGCTCCTGTTCCTCCGAGCATCGGCTCCTCCCTAATGTCCAGGAGAACTCAACATTCAAAAATTAGTACCGGACAGAAAACACGTGACGACGTGTCAGAACTGCCAGCCAAAAGATGCAAAGCTTCTGTTTCCGGCGCTGCTACCAAACTGTTTCCTATCGTCCAAGCTCTGCTTCCCATTTTTAAATGTGTTAATGAGGCTGGATGTAGATGTTCTGAAGTAGGGCCCGTAGGTATCAATGGGGCCCGGGGATGGCCTCAGGGAGCTAAGGAAGTCTGCCATTGGGGGCGGGGGAGGAAAGGGAACATGTTCCTCTGGGGAGAATTCATAGCTTTTGTTAAATTCCTAAGGCCATGGGAGGTGATGGGGGGAGGGGGGGCATCTTTGAGGGGAGATTCAGAGCCGCCAACAAGGGCACTCTCTGGTCCTTAGAAAGGCGTAGCCGAAGTTGGCACTAGTCAGTGTTGCTATTTCCCCCAGGACTTGGAATTTTCTGAATATAACGGAGATTTTCAGGACCGTGTACACATACGCTAATGCCTCACCCTCCATGCCGTGTGTGTTGTCGAATGAATGAACAAATGAAAACCTGCTGATTCTGTCCCTGTTGCTGTAGTTATGTGTTTTTTGTTTCCAGATGTAATTTATATTGCTTTGTATTTTAATAGCCAGTATATTAAAAAAAAAAAAATCTGAGGCCAATCAGTCTTTCCCTTCACGCTGAAAATGGCTCCGAACATTTACCAAAGAATACTGCTATTGTAAATGTCACCATTCTATCTGAGGCGAGTACTTGGGGAATTTTTTCTCAGAGGCACTGAAAACAAGATAGTCTCACTGCTTCATTCTTGCCGTATTTCATTTCTTATTGAAGACCTCTTTGAGGTTGATTCAGGGCCCTGTTGAAAACTGAGGTTTGACTTCTCTGAAGACTTCCAACTCTCCCGGAGAGGATGGTGATATTAAGTAACAGCAGAGACAAGCCTGTTCAAACCCCACTGCTGGTAACTCGCTCTCCCGAAGCTGTGGTTTAGGAGCCTGTAAAAGAGCCACTGAACATGGGTTGGCCCCTTGCCAACAGCGTAACCCTAGCACCAGAGACTTCCAAGGGTAAAGTATTAAAAGATGTGTTCTAGGTTTATGCCATGACCAAGGTTTGAAATCTCTGAATCCAGAGTTTACTCCTTAAGACCTGAATAAAATTCTTTATTTTCAGACATGCGTTCTGTTACTCAAGTCGGAAAAGAAACAAGAAATTTTACTGTATATTGGGCTCAGGGCAGACCTACGATTCTTGGCTCGACCCCGTGAAGGATCGTTTCAGAGGCCAGTCTAAGGAGTTCGGTCCCGTTCATAGCTTCTGTTTAATCGAATCGAATCTGCCTTTCTCACCCCAACCGGTCTGCAGTAAGGTTGGGGTGATCCCAGCTTGAACAAGGATAATAAAGGAAGGATGAAAAAAGGAAACCGGTCCCAAAGAGATAAGTCATTCTTTAAGTGGCCAGAGATCATAAATTTGAAATGAGGACAAGGAAGCAGGGGGCAGGGGATCCGGGCTGTAACTTCTTCCAGGTGGTTGAGAGGAATGTGTGATCCTCCCAGGACGTTGAAGCTGCTCGCGTTTTTCAACTGTTTGCTTTTGTTGCAGGCTGTGGATTCAACGTGAGTAACAGTAACCCCACCATATGCATCAATGATCTCGTCACAGAATACAATAAGCAACACAGGGCAGAGCTGAAGCCCTTCAGGACCGATGATCTCATCGCCAGAACTGTGACCGTGCTGGAGAAACTGATCGACACGTTTCAGGACAAAGGGCCCAATGGCATTCTTCCCCTTTATTATAAGTATTGGGTACACAGGTCAGTGCTGGCCCGTCTTCACTCTTTTAAAATGTCTTCATTCAATTAGTAGTTCACTATCTTAAAACAAGAAACTGAGCACAGGTCTAGATAACTATTTTCTCCCTTTCTGATGGAGAAAAAACTGGCGGACGCTATTTTGAGCCAAGTTACCATCAGCAATGCCAGGACGAACTGGCATCCCAGGTCTGCTGCTGATGGGATGCAGCGAGAAGGACACAGCATCACCGGAGAGTTTTCCCGCATGTTTATTTAAATCGTAGAACATTCTAGATATCAACAGTTTTCAAAGCAAGATCCCCCAGGGTCAATAGCATCCTCACCTGGGAACTTGTTAGAAATGCAGGTTATTCTCAAGTTCCACCCTGGGCCTCCTAAATCAGAAACTCTGAGGCTGGCCGAACACTCGAGCACAATTCATGTTTCAACAAATGCTCCAGGGGATCCACACGCACCCAAAGCCTGAGAGGCACTGGTACCTATCAGCAGGCCTCTATGCTTCAAAAATGTTAATGTCCTCTAACACAAAAAAATAAGAAGAAGGTGGGAGATTTGTTTGACATTAAAGAGGACTAAAGAGGCATGACAATAAATGCAAGATGTGATTCATAATTAGATCCTGGATGGGAGGAAATAGCCACAAAAAATATTGATGAGACAATGGGGAAATTTAAACATGAACTATATTTTAGATGTTATTATACCAAGATTAGACTTCTTGAGGGTGATAATGGTATTTTGGTTTTGTGGGAGATTGTTCTTAGGAGGTACATGCTGAAGTATTTAAGTGTAAAGTGTCATGATGCCTGCAACTTATTTTTAAACGTCCGCAAAAAAGCATGTGTGTGCACGAAGAGAGAAAGCAAATATGGAAAATGTTATCAGTTGGTGTGAATATAAGCGAAGAGGGAATCTGAGGTTCATTGTACTATTTTTTCAACTTTTCTGCAGGTTTAGACTTCTTCCAAATAAAGATGAGTGGCGGGGGGAGGGGAGGGATCCTCTATTTTAAAAACTATTTACAAGGATGTAACTCACCGCAGGTACATTTGGAAAAGATTAAAAGTAGCATTAGAGCGAGTTTAACTCGCAGGCGATGCCACCCAGCTTTGTTTTATAAAATTAGCTTCCCAGCTCAGTTTCTTTGGCCCCAATCTAAGCCAAGAAAACCTAGAGCTGCACAGTGGTTCTTAGAAGTGCTAGGGGGTGAGGAAGTAGGTACACATCATCCTCCGGATGAGCAGAATGAGGAGAAAGTCCGAACTCTGTTGGAATTGCCATCAACCTGATTATGCTAGTAGTTTATGAAAACAGTTCATGAGGGACCAGTGAGAGTCCGAGCATCCTACCCCACCCCCCGCCCTCCCGAACCCTTTACCCAATGGGTAAGTACTTAACCACCTGTCTTGCAGATACTGCGTGACATTTCCCAGTGACTGTCTGCTCTTCTTCATGTACAGTGGCCAGCGGGTCCGCCTGGGAGGCCTCGAGGGCCCGGAGGTGTGGATAGTCGGCCTAGATGACTCTGGGTTCCTTCAGGTTCAGCAGGAGGATGGTGAGATCGTGACGGTGCATCCAGACGGCAACTCCTTCGACATGCTAAGAAACCTCATCATCCCCAAACAGCAGTAGCCCGAGCCTGGGGTCACTGTCCTGGCCGCTGGGCAGTGGGAGGGCGGGCGGAGCCACTGCATCGAACATTCCGGTTCAATTTCTGCTGCCTTTCCTAGCCCGAGGAGCTGGAAAACGGATTTAGAGTTGTAGGCGGATTTTTTTTTTCTCCCTCCAATTAACCTCCTTAATTCCTTAATTTTGTTCTGTCTGTTGCCATTTGACTTGGTGTCAGAAGATGTTCTGGGGGGTAGCAGAAGATCTAGTTCAGATAAAGCACTACCACAGGTGTGAAATCTTTCTCCCCTCTTGGGCTTGGATGTGTGTTTATTGGCCCAGAAGAAAAACACAAAAAACACAAGTTTTTATTTGGAAACAGCAATGGAATAATTCAGATGTTTCCCCAGTAGCAGAGACCTTCACTCCCAGACTATTAAAAAATAAATAAAAAAAAAGCTTCCAGGCCCAAACCAGCAATGAGGTAGAGGGTTGGTAACACTGTTTATGAGCATCCAGGGAGGTGTTTTGCTAGAGGAACACTGGCAGTTCGTTGTTTTATTTATTTATTTTTTGTCCATAAGGAAAGAGAAGGTAGATTTCTGAGGGTTACTCTGGACCCACTGGTTTGTGGTCCAGTCACAGTGCCTAAGTGGCCGCAGAGATGGGTGTCACTGGCAGGCTGCAGTGACCTTGGAGAGGAAATCAGTTACTTGCTTGGACATTAATGTATGAGCCCTCTTTTCATAAATTTGAATTTACTGCATATCCTGAAGTGATGGGATCAAGTTCAAGAGCCTTAAAGTGTTGATTAGGCCTCGTGTGAATGTGGGGTGGATGATGGGGCCCTAACAGCTGGAGACGAAGACGCATTCATACCACACACAAGGGAGGCTTTGGGGCTTTTAAGCCAGTTGTAGGTTCACTTTGAAATGTGGTGGATTCCTGAAAGACGGTTTGGTGCACAGAGAACAGAAGTACATGGCGTTTTATTTGTAAGCCGTAATTTTTACCCCTCTTTTCCTAAATTGCTAAGAAAGGAAATACAACTGATACTGAGCGCCCATCATCTAAGAGGGAGGGAGGGTGTGTGTGTGTGTGTGTGTGTGTGTGTGTGTGCGCGCGCGCGCGTGCGTGTGTGAGAAGCTTTAAAAGAAGATGTTCAAGATCTGATGCCCTAAAAGTCTCCATGGAAGAACAAAAGAAAGGAAACCTTTTGATATACATTTGTGATTTCCAGATGTACTCCATGCTCTTTCCATGTAACTCCTATCTCTGTTGAACTTGTGAATCACACGCATTACTTTTCAGCCTTAAAAGGCCAGTTTTTGTCCACTTTTCTCTCTTCCTGCCAGTCCCAACTGAAATTAGTGGAAAGAAAACTTGATGGAGCTCTCAGCATTGAACAGAATCCCTTTATTATACACTAGCACTATCTTTATCCAGCTTTACTTAGGCTAATTCCAAAAACTTGCGGTTTTCGGTATAAAATGTGTCCACCTTTAGCCAGGCACAGCCAGCACCATAGGAAGGGGGAAAAAATAGCATGTTTAGTTAAGTACAACAACCCAATATGTGTTTTTGGAACTGTAACTTTTAAAAGAACTTCAGAAGTAATTTTTGCAAATAAGGCTTCAATTAGAATTTTGTCAAAAAAAAAAAAAAAATGCTTCTCTCCTAAGTGTCTAAGTCTTCTTTTGGAATTAGTGACAAGTTTAAATAAAAGTCCACACCACCCCAAAATCACCAGATGAACTCACCCTTGAGAGGGCATCTGCAAAATATCATCAAGAGGAAAGATCTCCCCGCTGATGCTGCGAGTTTCATTTCTCAAACTTTGTAATATAAGGCAAGTCCTCTCTCAGAGCTGCCATTGTTACTGTTTGAATTTCTTTGGGGGGTTCTTTAATGAAAAACATGCTACGTTTTGTTTTTAGCTGAAGTCCTATTCTAGATAGTTCTGCTTTGGGGGAAAAAATGTTATCATTTCATTTCCTTTCTGTAAATTAAAACTAATGAAGTGTGGCCATGTCAGCGCAGATGGAGATGTTCCGGGCATAGACCACTTTGCCTCTGTGCTTTTAAGACTGTTCTTTCTCGTGTCGTCACCCAGTCGCCTTGAGGGACACGAAGTAGACTTGAAGCAGATGCTACGTTTTCCGTAAACCCGATTTTGCCTCAGATGAACCAAAGACTTTTGAAATTCTGCTTCATATAGAAGAGCTGAATAAAAGCATTTTACTTGTAGCTATTAGCGTTAGGGAAATTATTTACTTGCTACGTGACACTCCTGGGTTTGAGGTCGTTTTGTGCACCTGACGATCTCTGATCTCAAGTAGCTTTAAAGTCTTAACGGAAACTTTGCATTTTCTTCATAATCTTGAAAACATGGTAACTGAACTCAGGATTGGCGTGGGCTTTCCGGGCATTTGATTGGCCCCCGCGTGTGGAGGCTGCACATTGATTGGCCCCCGCGTGTGGAGGCTGCACATTGATTGGCCCCCGCGTGTAGAGGCTGCGCATTGATTGGCCCCCGCGTGTAGAGGCTGCGCATTGAGCATGTTACCTGGTTTTGTAAAAGACCAGACCGCCTCTCTTCCGGGCTGGTGGCAGATTTCCGAGGAAGCCGTGGAAAAGCACCCCCGAATGCGCACAAGGAAGTTTTCCCTAGGACTCGTGGCCCCCGCCGAAGCAGCACCCCTTGATGCTGGGCCTCCTGGCAGCATTCAGGGGGTGTGGGCAAAAAGTCCAAGGATTCGTGTCTGGTCTCAAAGACTCCGTGGGGGTCGCTACCGCAGACTTTGCCCGATGTGGGAATGAGTGGGCCGATGAGGGGTGTGTGATGGGTGGGTGCACAGGCCCAGGTGAGGGTAGTATGCAGCCTCCAGTCCCCGAGTCCCCCACGTACACCCACGGGGCTGGCCTCTGTGGTTCCCCCTGCCCTTGACCTGGGAAGCGGGAGAAAAGCCAGCCTCACCCAGCAGTTTCAGGATGTAGCAGGGAGACATTTTCAGCTTGCATTCTGGAAGCTCTGTTTGCTCCTAACGGGCAGAAAATGGAGAATCCTTATTCCTGCATAATTACTATGCACATCAAAAATGTTTAAAAGCGTACACCTTCCCATTTTTACCTTTTCAAAGAATCATCTCTGAAAAGTAATTACTTTAAACCAATGCCTATAAAAATCGAGTCTTACCAAAATAAACTTTCAGGTTTTCTGTACAGTTTGGGCTCATTGTTATTTTTACCACAAGTTTCATTTTTAAAAACAGGCAACTACTCTTGGTTACCAGCATTTTTATTCATATTTAAACATTTTTACAAAATAAATAGTTTTACATGGTAAGGAGTATGTATGTATTTCTAAGTTATTAAGAAGCTGGGTGCTCTTTGTTGTTTTTGATTTATTTTTGACAAATGTGTCATACAAAAGAGAAATATTACTCCAAAGAATGAAACCCAAAGTAAAACAAAAACAAAACAAAACAAAAACCTTTTAGCTCAGGTGAGAAAGAAATTTAATATAAATTTTTAAACTGAAAAACAAATTTAATGTGACAACAAATTTAATAGAAGAACAAATTTTGTTCTTGGAGAATTGTTCTTTTGTAAGAACTGCTTGACTTTTGTTTTGAGGCTTTTCCCCAAGATTTCAACTTTATATGTCATACTTAAGTTTAGGAACAGCTTGAATAAATGCATCTTCGATAGCCCAAGAGTTGCGATGCACTACGATTTTAAACGACTGTAATTTTCTGGCATTTGTTTGAAAACCTTTTTATGTCATTTTATCGCAGCAGCCCCCACAGTCTACCTTAACTGTCTTACAGTTACAATAAATTACAACTTCGGGTAGACTTTGTCCGGGATTCATTGACCGTGTAAACCTCTCCCACCCTTAGGGTCCAAGGGGAAAGGCTTGGTTGGCCCTAGGACTGTTTAAAAAGGACAAAGGGGTGGGGGGCCAGGGAGTGGAAAATACCGCTCTTGCAGATCTCCTGAAGCAGCCCCGTTCCCTTCTCTACAAAGGTATGAATGGAATGGCTTTTCTAGAAAGGGCTTCCATGAACATAAAGGAATTCCTTTCCCTGGGAGGCCCCTTGGAGGGCCCAGCCAGTCTTAAACTGGGTTTCTTTCTCAAATCCGTGTGAACTGGCATTTTTCGTCAACGTGTTAGGAACCCACTACAATTTTTGTTTTCTTTTTGTGAAAGTCGTATTTATTAAAATGCTTCCTCTTCCCCTGCCGGAGCCTCATCGAAGTCAAGAAACGATACCCCCAGCTTAAATGTGCAGACTCTTAAAGATGGGCTAACAATATTAGGTTGCCATAGTAACTCCCGTTCACTTTAAACTGAGCTGCTGGCCGCCTGAAAGCCGGCTTGCGTAGGAATCTTCCTTCACGTTCTAGGCTAGGAAAACCGTGATGTTTGTGTAGACAAGGGCGTTCTCCCTAGTACCCATTTTATTTTTCAAGCACACACGCACTCATTGTTAAGCCTGTTTACGTTATCATTTGTGAATCTATAACGGTCTTATCTTTTTCACCGCAACCTTTGATCTTAAGCTGCTCGAAAGCCTTCATGATCTGTATTTACTCATAAACACGGCCCCCGATGGTTCGCAACAAGTTAGACACAAATGCATTTTGCGGTACTTTATTGAGAAACGTCGGGTGATCGCTCCCGCTCCTCAAAACCGCTCCTTCCAGGAATCATGGTTTAATTAGGACGGTTGTGAGCATAAAAAAATAATTACCCCGTGGCTTATTTTCTGTATGCACAAAGACCTGCTGATGAGGTATAGCTAAGCGCAGGACAGGGGTGTAGGCGTTCGCTTCTTTTGACTCATTCCCTTTGCCACACCACACGTGTTCCAAAATTTGCAAATTTCACCCCCCCTCCCCCACCACGAGGCAACTGACACCCTGCTCAGAAAGGAGGCGGACCCTCACTCAGTGTGACACCAGGTCGGCAGAGGATCATTTCACATTTTGAGAACAGTTGGTTACAGGTGCCCTTTGATTCTAGAACGATGCCTTAAAGACTTCTGTGAAACATCTTTCCGCTCAGGCGCAGAGTTTCCTAGAAGAAAACCGTTTCTGACACAGCGAAATGATGGAGTGTTTATCGGGTGAAGCAAATTAGAAGACGGTGGTTCAATGCATCGAACCACTTCAGAGCCATGGTAGGATTTTTAAATGGTGAAGTCTTGAAGCAGAAACATAAAAGACAAAAATGAATGTACGTTTATTTTTAAAAACACTGCTGGTGCTTTATAAAAGGATTTCTGTTTACCTCCTACATACAGGACATGTTCATGGAGTTTTCTTGCTATGCAGAAAAGGCAGGAAATGCTAAAGAAAATGTATGCACCATTTTTATCAGATCCCTTTAGCGACTTTTCTTCCACAAGGCGCAGTCCATTGACAATTTTCCATATTGCACATGCAATTTAACTAACTTTATTAGCACTACTTATAGCAAACACGAGCCTAGGGAAATACAGGTCTGGGTGGACCAGAGGGATTTCGCCTTGTAATCAAACCTGACAGGGGTAGCCAGTCGCCTTGGGCACCTAAATCATCCACATGTCATTCTCAGAAAATATCTGGCTATATATAATTTTTTGCATTTAATGCCTATTCAATATACTCTGAAGGTGCTATTCTCGGTATCAAGAGTTCACAGAGGTTAGGAGGAAGTAAAAGCACACCCATGCTCATTCACTCCCTTGGTCTTGGCTTGCTGATTTTTGTACCGAAAAAAAAAAAAAGGCTTAAATTAAAACAACTTTTCATGAGGCTCATGAATGACTTTTAAAGACATGAGAGTTGTCGATTCCTGGGGCTTAAATCATCACATCCTGCCTTAAGAATCTAAGAGCGCTCTGAATTCTGG